AAAGAAACAGAAATACAAAAAGCAGCTGTATGAGGTTGCCACATCCAGGAAACACAAAGCCAGGAGGACGAGCTCAGAGCCACCTCCCGCTTCACAGGATGAAGAGAGCAAATCCAGCCAGTAACAGTCAGAGAAACAGGACTAAACTGGAAAACAGAACGATCTCGAACATCTGACAATGTGTTTGGCCTCAGTGCTCTGAATATGGTTAAAAGGGTTGTGAAGAGAAGCTCACACAGCTTCAGCTGTTTATGGGATTGCAGCTGTTGTGGAGATGTGAACTGACAGAAAGGAGTTTGAACTTATGAGCAATCCCATCACAAACAAAAGCCAGCACTCAGCTACAACACCGCTACCAGAATTATGATTAAACTCTCCTCTTTTTGGGAAAGTTCATGTTTGGCACTGCAGGTTTCTAAAGAACGACAGAGGTCCGATCCCTTAATAACCCCAGGATTTGAAAGCAGCTTACTATTACTTAAGATCCACAGTCAAGATGACCTCTTTGTGCACGTCAAGCCTTTCTAACCACGGCCAAGAAACACGATAGGCCGTTTTCTTTCAACCAACAGCACACAGCCCCCGCAGGTGACAATCATAACGCTTCCAAGTCACTGGAAAAAAAAAAAACAACAAAAACACGACACACACAATCAGACAAGCTTTTGAAGCTGATGGCATCCTGCTCTCCTGGTACTCTGAGGGATTGAGTTGCTGGTTCCAGGCATCAGAGCGGTGAAAACACTGAAACATAAGCCTGTGGATCCCATATCGGGCTCGGCCCCTGGGCCCTCCATCTGAGCCGCAGGAGAGTTGTAACTGATAGCCCCGCAGGTAGCGGCGGCTCAGGCCGCCTCTGACGCCGCAGCGGCCCCTGTGCTAATTAGCTCCCATTGTTTATGAGGAGATTGTTTCTGATGGGGAGCTTGGCAGCCACACCTCACTGATTCCCCATCATCATCATCATCCCCTTCATGTAAGAGTGCTGACCTTCTCAGCTGACTTATTTATGGATTCTTTTGCTGTGCAGCTGTGCTTACTCTGTGTGCGTATCCCACAACATTTAGTGTTTTTACCTTCCATCACATTACAGCGAAAACCTGCATTTTATTGTGATTTTATGTCTTAGACCAACACAAGGTGGGAAATACCTGCAATATAGAAAATGAAGCATGGGTTTAAGTAATCTAAATCTGACTTTCACTGATGTGTGGGAAAGAAAGAAGCCATAAGGTGGTGTGTCAGCACAGCAAATGGACAGTAAATTTGAAAAGGAATGCAAACACAAATATAGGACCAGCACACTAAACACAACCTGACAAAAAAGAAATGCTGTAAACACAGAAGTCTGAGAGAAGCACAACTGAACTGCATTTCAATCTGAAAAACTCACAGAAAGAAAAGACAATTGGAAGAGTTTAATTGATACAATTACTTAAGTCTTTGGCGCTCAGACCTCGGCGGGAAACATTAGCACAGAATTTGGTTTGATACGTAGAAACAGGAGTAAATAATAGGGTTGTTATTAGGCCTGAAAATGGTGTCAAAGTGGAGAGGATGAAGTTGGTCAGTTCATGACTGCTGACTGGTGAGATGGAGTGATTGAGCTGTATGAAGAAATCCGGTGGGCTGAGTGAGTTGATACTAGTGCATCACTCTGGGACTTGGAAGATGGAAGTCCAGTTTGGATAACACAGGTTGAGTAAACCTGTCCATGATGAGCAAGCATGAAGCAACAGTGGAGAGGAAAAACTTCCCTTTGGGAAGAAGTCTCTGGCAGAACCAGGCTCAACATGGCGGTTTTCTGCCAGACCAGTTGAAATGAGACAGAGAACGCAGTAAGAGTCCCAGAGGAATGAAACTCTGATGAAGCTTTAGCTACGATGGTGTAGGAGCTGGAGGTGGGTTGAAACAGGGTAATCTGAATAGAAGTCCGACATAGCGCGACCGCTGCCTGCACTTTAAACACCTTCTTTGAGATGTAGATTGAAGTCCCTTTTTGAGATGAACTATGGATGCTGATCGGCCCGTGACAGAGGCGAAAAGTAATTGTTTCTTCAGTTGAACTTCTGCCTTGGCTCCAGAAAACAAAATGATGCTAACACAGAAAACACGTGTAAAAGGAAGATGATCCAAGTAGCAAAAATAATCTCAAGTTAAGAAAAGCTCCGTAGCAGAAGTGCTCCAGACCAGTAGGGGGAGACGATTACAAACTTATATGGGACCAGATCCTTAGTAAAAACATTAACTGGAAGCTCAGAGAGATTCACCTTTTATTTCTACAGAAGCTATGTACTGTAAGGACACAGCAGGCAAGTGGAAGAAGGTTTTAGCTGAGACAAAAAAGTAGCTATTTGGCCTGTAGGCACAATGTAACTAGATTTTTGTGTTTTTGCTAAACATTAAAAAACACAAAAATATCGATAACCACGAGTGTTGCTACTCAAAAACTGTATACAAAACTAATTTACTGACACTAAAGTCAAGTGTTTTTGCACATTTTTGCAGTTGTTCAGTTTAGATCTCTGGATTATTTGCACATTTAAATGATATTACCTAAAAAAAAAAAAAAACTTTTACCCTTTAAAGCCTGATCCAAGAATAAAACAAAACAGAAAATTCCTTTTTTTTTGTTTGAAGTCCTTATTTGCTCTTTTAACAAAATATGTAAAAAGAAAAAACAGAAATACATCTTTGGTATTAATAATTCATTACTATGCGATAAGTCAAGATTATTTTTTGTGTAGTCTTCTACTGGCTGTTATCAGGTATATGTGATTTTGTAAAATAGGATTTTGAGCAAAGTTTTTACCATTAAATTATGCAAAAAGTGTCAGACGCAAAACATTTCAGAAACCGTATGTATCAAATATGATACATGTGGCATTATAGTGTTAAATATTGTCAAACTGTGTTATATTAAGGTTATTTGTTTTGCATTTATTTACATTGGTATTGAAATGTATCGAGTATAAAAAATATTCCCTGATATTGACTTTTGTACATTGAATTTTAGTACCATGACAATCGTTGCCTGAATACAGAGACCAGACTATAAAACATGGTGATGGCAGTATCATACTGAGATCTGATTGGAAATAGTGTAACTTCCCTTCCTCTACAGTCATGCAGCATGGCATTGGTCAACCCATGTTTAAACTCTTGAAGTGAGGAAAAGAGAATAAGTCTCCCCAGATCTGAATATTTTTGGACGGCACCCCAATGTTTCGGAGGTGTACAGCTGAGAGGATTTAAGGTTCAACGCCACTCTCGGAACGATGCCCACAGGTTTTCAAAGTCAACCAAACCTGTTTCCAATTTCAAATCAACCCACTTAGCCAAAACTTTTGATGTCATAAGCAGTTGTAATCCTTTGCACTATTATATCATCAGCGTTTAGAGAGAAACACAAATGCTACAGCTCATCTCATGTCAAGCTGTTACCACTAAAATATTCATCTCATTATCAAGCCTCGCGCTTCCCGCACACCAGAGCTAATCCCATAAAGCCCTCTGAGGCAAACTGAGAGGGATGGATCTCCTCCTGAACACACGCCATTGTGGCCCTTAATGCCTTATTAAACACAAAAGCATTCATCCTTCGTTCTCACAGACCTCTTAAACCAAGAGCGGCGCAATCAAGCTGAGTGGAAGGGAGCAGTTTGGGAGATGGACAGGCCTGACCCGAATTAAATGCATGTTAGAAATCAAGACAATCATTCAAAGAGGCTTCAAGACTTTCCAGATGTTTGCTTTTGACCGCCCAACCCCTCCTTCTTTTCGAGCTTTGATTCCTCATGTCGAGGCAAACAGCTGTGGTGGGACTCAGGTGAAGGACAGAAAGCAGAAACATGTTGTATTTACTGAGCATTTCAGCAAGAGGAGGGGCTGTCCTGATTATTTCTATGGAATCCTGGGTGGGATATCGGTAATGGCTAAATACATAAATACATTTTTCTAACGACGTAATAATAATAATCTCTGTGATATCTAATTTGAAGTCTTCAAACTGGTTTTAATCAGAACCAAACCATCCACTAAACTGACACTTTAAAGTCTGCTCTGATGCTGAACAGATTCTGATCCTTGGACATAAAAGCATCATGCAGCTCCTGCAAATATGTCAGCTTAATGTTGGCCAGGGGAATCTCCAGTTCAGATACATCAAAAATCTGCTGTTTTGAGATCTGACGACTCTGGGAGCCACCGAAGTAGTCAATGAATTTGCTGCCATTTTTTTTAAGGAATGCATGACTCTTGTTGAGGAAACCTTCAAGGGATGGGTCCTCTGTGGTCAAAAGGGATCAGACGTGGTCAGCCATTACTTCGACACCACTGATATCAGGACTCATTGTACAAGGCAATGTCTTTTAATCCTTTATCCTCCTTTATTTTTACTCACCTGCTTCAGGACTGCACTTGTTCTCTGAGACGTTACGTTCCAACTTATTTAATCTTATATTAGCATCTATCACCTATGTGCTGTGACCTCTGACATCAGCAAAGTATTTCTGTCAGGACAGATGCCCCATGTGTCAGATAGCACTCTCTGAGTCAGATAAATGTCCCTTTCACAGTCTTTAAATCCCTCCTAGCACTAAAACACTGACTTGCATCAAACCAACGAATTCACAAAAGGTTGCATGAATAAGAATGTAAACTAAAATTCTATATATATATATATATATAAGTACTGAGAGGGCGGGGCTTAAAGTCAGAGTAATATGGATGTCATTGTCCACCTGTAGACATGTTCTGCATGTTTAGACAACTTTTAACATTGAAAAGCCAGACTCACACAAAAAGGTTGTTGCAAAAGGGAAAAGGAACTTCAGTGGCCCGTCAGTTAAGGTGACTATTCTTTTCTTACAAAGATCAGATAAGATAACATAGCTTTGCTAGTTTTCATAGTTCCTACCGGCGACCTTTTAGTGATATAAATGACAGGATAAAGGAAAGGAGTGTAAAGCATAAAGATACGAATGAGAAAGCAAACGTACGTTTTTCTCTATGGCACGAAGATATCTGGCACATTCAGAGTGCCCGTTGTACTCTGCCAAGTCTGCTGCTGTGAATCCATCAATATCCTCATCTGTAGGATTTGCTCCATTGGCCAACAGGATTTTACAGCACTGAGAAATCAATTGGGAAAATAAGGTAATAATAACAATATATCTGAAACTGTATTTAATTTATATAGGAAATGAACTTGATGCTAAATTAATGAATAAATGAATACTTTAATCTAACCTCCAGCTCTCCATTCTCTGCAGCATCATGAAGAGGAGTCCCTCCCCAGAAATCTTTGATGACTTTAGAACCCATGTAAAGCAGCAGCTCCAAGATGCAATAATGCCCCCTGCTGGCAGCAAAATGCATAGCTGTTGCTCCTTCTCTGTCTTGGCAGGACAAATCCACGTCGGTGCAGGTCACCTAGAGGTCAGTGAACACATCAGTTTAGACAGCAGCTACCAGGACGAGCCCCTTCAGAAAAAAAGGTCAGATAAATTCATGGTACTGACCAGCCAACCCACCACAGCCTGATGCCCCATGTGAGCAGCAGCATGAAGGCAGGACATGCCGTCGTGGGCTCTCAGGTGAACGTCCGCCTCACAGTCTTTTACAAGATACTGGACAACGGGCAGGTGCCCCTCCTGGCAGGCCAGGTACAGGGGGGTGGCTCCCAAACCCGTCTGCTGGTTCAAACACCTGAACAGGCAAGCAAGGAGACATAAGAGATGCAGACGATAGTCTGAATAAAAACAAAATGTTTACTGCAGCAACAGGAACTGATGAGAATGTTGATACTTTTCAGGACAGCTTAATGAGCACATTTGGCACGTGAAAAGTGCATTCACACTCTAAATCCATGGATCTGTCTTCTTTAGTATATCCTGATTGCTGTTCTTTAGAGATCGACCATCGGTCTGCTACGGTGAACTCTGCTGATCTTTAAAGGCCTTTTAATCATTTCACAGGAAACCAACTAATTGTAACATTGCTGTAAAACAGCACAGACGACTTTATTAGTAACCCTGATTTACCTCCTCCGGACAAGACCCGGCTGTGCAGCTACAACTTATGGATAAATTACATTCTTTTCAGAACCAGAAAGTTCACATTTTGGACAAAGAAGACAGATGGTTTGAAAGGGGTGTGAAGGAAGCTAAGAAAGAAAAACCAACCTTAAACAGAGGGGGTGGACTCAGGTTTCAGCTCTCAAAAACCTACAGTTCAGCTATAGAGTTAATTCCTTCCCTCTATCATCTCAACCCCCACCCCTATACAGGCGACAAAACCTTCTCGCCTGGTCAGCCAGACCAACAACTGCCCCTAACAACCCCCCTTTCAGAGGCATAGACCAGTATCGGGCATTGCAGGCTAACAAAGAACCCAAATGACTCCCCATTCCCTGGGGACGGACCCCTTTTTCTGGTTCAATTTGCATGTTTTCTAAGCTAAAACAAGATTTTGGGGAACTATATAAATCTTCAAACTCAATGCTAATTCTGAGTTCAGAATCCTGTTGCAGAATTCCTATCCAGGAAGCGGAACATCTTCAAACATGGAAACAAAATCCAGAAGATTGTTTTTTAACCTTTTTGGAATGATTACGACATGGATGAATGAGAATCTTCACCAGCATATAACCCTAATTTAGATTGATTAAAAGCACAGTGGGTAATACTGTACTGGGAATTACTGATATAAATGTAAAAAAATGTCTATATGTATGTTATTTATTATCACCTAAAAACTGGAGGTCTCAATCTTTATGTTTACCTTGCCTTAGAAATTGCTATTTATTATTACATAGGAGTCGATTTGCATTTATGAAGGCAGACATCTTTGTTCTTTAAAAGCGCAGAGCTGGTAAATTAGTGACTGTAGAGATCGCATTATGCTTCAATGGGACTGCAGCAAGTTAGGCCTATATAATCCTACACAGAAAATAAAATACTATTTATAATGTTATCTATGGAAACTAGACTTACAACCAACCATGACCGGCAACTGCCTGGTTGTTGTTAAATTGGCATTTGTTGTGTCTTTGTTTTCGTTTTCTGAGCAGAATCCCATCCTGTCCTTGTTTGTTTTGGTCAAAATGCACAAAGCGGGGGGATGAATCGCCTGGACAACAGAGGTAAAGGGAGACATCTTGAGCTCAGGCAGGAATAGCGGGGAATCAGCCTAAGAACAGCGGCTTAGAGAGTGTTATATTTTTCAAGCCAAAAAAGCAACAAAAAAAAGAA